GCTAGGTTTGGAATACCTTAGACCCTCAAGGGAAGACAGAGAGAGGGTTTGGCCAGACAAGTCTGGGAGCTGGGGGGGAAGTCCAGGATGGAGAGGGACATTTGGGATTCAGTATAGAGGTGGGCTTCCCTGGTGGCTCAGATGGTAAACAATCTGCCTGCAATGTAGGAGACCCAGGTTCAATCCCTAGGTGGATCAGGAAAATCCCCTGGAGAAGGGAATGGTAACCCACTCCAGTATTGGCTTGGAGAATTCCCTGGACAGAGGAACCTGGTGGGCTACAGTCCATGGGATTGCAGAGTCAAACACGACTGAGCTACTAATACACACATAGACACACACACACACACACACACACACACACACACACAGATACACATATAGAGTTAGCAGTTAGGGCCTGAATTGAGCCTGAGGCTTCCCAGGTGGTTCAGTGGCTAAGAGTCCAGCTTTCAGTGCAGGGGGCCAGGGTTCCATCCCAGGTCAGGGAACTAGATCGCACATGCCACAACTGAAAGATCCCGCATGCCACAATTAAGACCCAGCACAACCAAATAAATATTTTTTAACAAGAAAAAAGACTGAAGGAGCCTATCTAAGGTTGACTATAAATAGAGACCAGACCAGGGCCTGAGGCAGGAACTGTTGGTGAGGTGGGGAGTAAAGCAGGAATGTGTGGGGGTTGGGAGGAAGAAAGAATTAACCCTGTCAGACCATTAGGATTAGAACAAACGCTGGAGCTGAGAGGGGATCTCTTATTCACATTGGCAGAGGGAGCCATCCCTCCAGCTCCCTGGTTTAGCACAGTGTCTATACCCACTCTCCCATACATCACACTTGTATTGCTGCAGGCACTTTTTTTTTCAAAACAAACTTTTTATTGAAGCATAGTTGATTTACCATGTTACATTAGTTCAGTGGTACAGCAAAATAATGCAGATATACAGATAAATACTATTTTTCAGATTCATTTCCAATGCACAGATATAGATATCTACAGATATGGAATATAGTTTCCTGAGCTATACAATAGGTCCTTGTTGTTTCTCTATTTTATATATAGTAGTACCTGCCATATGTGTTTTTATTTATTTTTTAAATTTATTTGTTTGGCTGTGTCAGGTCTTAGCTATGGCATGCTGGATCCTCATTGCTTCATGCGTGATCTTTCATCGTGGCACACGGACTCTCTAACTGTGTCTCAAGGGCTTAGTTGTTCTGTGGCATGTGGGATCTTAGCTCCCCAACAAGGGATGGAACCCATGTACCCTGTATTGCAAGACAGATTCTTAACCATTGGACCACCAAAGGAGTCCTTGTATGTGCTTTTATTTTTTAATTTTATTTATTTATGACTGTGGTGGGTCTTAGCTGCGGAACTCAGGCTTCTGCTCACTGAAAAGCACAAGCTCAGTTGGTCTGAGGCATGTGGTATCCTAGTTCTCCGACCAGCGATAGAACCCATGTCCCCTGCATTGGAAGGCAGACTCTCAACCACGGGACCACCAGGGAAGTCCCCTTGTATGTGCTTTGAAATGAACTGTTGCCATTCCAGCCTCTAACAATAATAAAGTACTAACAATAAATAATAATAATAATAATTATTAGCCTCTAACAATAATAAATCATAAAGTGGCATGCCTTGCATGCCAGGCACTTTACTAAGCACTTTATGTGTATTATCTCACTTAACTGTCACAATAAACCCAAGAGCTAGGGACTATTATTGTCCATAATTTACAGTCAGGGAAACTGAGGCCCAGAGAGATGAAGTGACTTGCCCAAAGGGGCACAGCAAGTAAACTGGTCATCTGGCCCTGGAATCTATCCTCATCCTGCCACTTCCACACCTAGGCTCCATCACTCAGCATGATGGTTCTGAGTTATTTCCACCCCACCCCGCCCACTCCCCAGGAGATCTTTCTGGCTGAGGATTTTCAACCTTTAGGGAGGGAGTTGTGAACAGTCCACATTCAACCAGACCAATCCAGTCGTCCAGTCGGATGGGCATGTAGGTTGTTTTTTCAATTTGTGCCCATTTTGGATAACACTGTAGTGAACACTTCTGGAGCCTCTTTCTGCAGGTCTGAGGTTCCCTGGGGTATCCGTTGGTCATGAGATCGGTGACACTTTCAGTTTTCACAGCTGCGGTCCAATCGATCACTGCCCAGAGGGTTTGTCCCAATAACCCAAGGCCATGTAATGGGGTGGAAACTCGGTCTCACCAAAGTCGATTGTTGTGACAAAATTTTCAACTTTGTCTATTCTTCTGGGGCATGAATACACATTCCTTACAGGGAGGCCTGGCCAGCTGCAGTCCTTGGGGTTGCAAGGAATCGGACACGACTAGGCGACTGAACAATTCTTATGCTGAAAGGGTGCTTTCCAGGTGGCTCAGTGGTTGACGAATCCGCCTGCCAAGCAAGAGACGTAGGTTCCAGCCTGGGTGGGGAAGACCCCTTGGACGAGGAAATGGCAATCCACTCCAGTATTCTTGCGTGGGAAATCCCATGGACAGAGGAGCCTGGCGGGTTACAGTCCATGGGGTCGAAGAGACACGACTTAGACTAAACAGCAACAACAAATGGGTGAAATAGGGTCTTGGGGAGGGGAACGAATTAAGGGGATGTATGTGTGTTGGGGGCGCGGGGCGGGCGGTGTTCGGCCTATCTCCCACGGAATCGTCTCCAGCCCTCAGCCCCCTCGACCTGGCGCCGGAAACCCCCAGGCGGCCCCGGCGGGGGCGGGGGCGGGGGTCGGCGTAGCAGCTTCCCGCGGAAGGAAGCGCCAGGCGGTTCCTGCGACAGGATGCGCGGTGATCCCCCTCCCCAGTCGCCGGGGACTTCCCGGGCCGGGCCAGGTTCGCGAGGGAGCTGCTCCCACGCGGACGCACTGAGCTACCGCCAGTAGTGTGGGGTTCCAGTCCCCCCGCTACATCCCTTTGGGGAGTTGTGGGTCGATCCCCCAAGTGGGCGGCAACTTAAGTCTCACATTTCCCCGGAGGGAAGGCTGCGGAGGAGGCGAGATCCCCTTGGGGTGAGGGGTGGGAGGTGGGGTGAGGGAGGAGGCTGAGGGACACAGGGAGACAGGAGTGCGGCGGGTGAACGAGCCTGGAGGCGAGCCAGGGGCGGGCGTTCTGGGGCGGAGCCGCCCCTCCAACGAGCCCTCCTCCTCCTCCCCTCCGGCCTCGGGGTCAGGTCCCCCGGGTCTCGGGAAGCCGCGGCGGCGGAGCCGGCTGTCTGGAGGCGGGGCGGGAGCTTTCCCGGAGCCTCCCGCCGTCCTCACTCCCCGCACCTGCGGCTCCTTTGTCCTCCCACAGCCCCCACCCCCACCCCCTGGGGCGACGCCGACTGTCACTCTCCTGAACCGGCGTTGGGGAAATTGTCAGGGTTTTTTCTCGGGGTGGCAAGCCTGGGGACGGGGTGGGGCCAAAGCCAACGAGTGCTCCCACGGGTATTTCTAAACCCACAACCTCGAAGGGAAGTTGCTGGCGCCCATTTCGCGTATGAGGAAACCGAGGCTGGAAGCTCAGGTCCTTGCCTGAACCACACACAGTTACACTGCCTGAGACTGGAACTGGGCGTAAAAGAGCGCTCCAAAGCTCACCTGTCCAGCCCCACACCAATCCTGGGAATCTTGCCGATTCAGTTAATCAAGTGGGGGGAGGGTAGCTATCCTTCTAGTCTCCAAAGGAGGCCCGATACCCAAGTCGGCTAGGGGCACTGTACCCAGCAGTATCCCCCAAACATCTGAACTCGGAAAGCCACCCAGAGTTGTAGGGAGGGGGTGTGTGTCCAACATCCCGCCAAACGTGCGACGTTTAAGGAAAGGTCGGAGCGCCAGCCGTCCAGCACGCAAGTGCTCTGGCAAAGAAAAGGGGTCGGCCCCTTCCCGCCTACTCTGCCCACGTGGTAGCGGTCAAACCGGTTTCTGGGGCCCCAGCAAGCCGCCGCCAGCTCTCGACCCCTTGACCCTGCCCCTCCCCCACCAGCGAAGAAAACCAGACGGGCTGCGCAGACTTAGTATACAATTGGTCTTTATTTTCCTATCTGGCAAAAAGGCCAGATAGAGGGAGTTACCAGAATCCACCAGTAAAGGCAAACAGAACCCCAAAACGCCCTGGCGAGAATCTCCCGCCTCCCCCAAACTGGCCCAGTCTCGCCAACCACTGATCCCTTCTCAGCCCTACAGCGTTCTGAGCACCCCTCCCCCCATTTTTGTGATTCAGACCAGGAACGACCGGGTTGATTGTGCCTGTGGTGAGGGTCAAGCTTGAGACGGTGAATAACATCCCCACCTCTAACGCACCAGATGAGAAAAAATTTTTTAATGAAATTAGATCAGCCCTCTACCTCCGGAGGCGTAGGGGCTTCGGGCAATAACCCGCAGCAAGGGAAGGCGCAGTGACTCAGGCCGCCCTCCTCCCATTCCCCAGGGCGGTCCACACCCCAGGTCCTCCTCCCGGCCCCCACCCACGCAAGGCAGCAGGAAGCTCCCCACGTCTGCCCCATGACGCAACGATGACCGCTTGCACAAGTAAGTCACAGGAGGGGGAAGGGGAGTGCCTGGAATTCTCTGAAGTTGGAAACGCAAACACCAACGATTGAAAAACCTTATTGAGAGGGCAGCATAGGCCCCAGTTAAAAAAAATGTCCGACCCTGAGGAGTTTCAAGAACCAAGCCTCCCGTCTCCCAGTTCCAGAAAGAGTCGGTGAGGTTCACCTCCCAGTCCGTTAAAACAGCACCGATGGGAGCAGCAGGTCTGGGGGGGAAGGCGCCCGCGCCCCCGGCTCAAGCTCCTTGGCGTCGCCGCTGCACACAGGTAGCGACGGCTCCCCGGGGGCAGAGTCCCTCTCGGGGCCTCTGGGCAGCCCGGGCGACGGCTCCTCTCCACGGCTTCCGCGAGCGCTCCCCCGGGGGTGGGCCTCGCCTCGGGTCTGCGTACTCTGGCCGACGGTTCGGCCCGCGCTCTGGGCTCCGGTAGCGCCTCTCAGGAACCCTCAGAAGGCCACCACGGCCCGTACCAGCACGTTGAGCATGTTGTCCGCCGGGCGGCAAACCGGCTTCGCCTCGCACGCCGGGGACGCCGTCGGAGAGCTGGCAGCGGGACTGCAGTTCAGGAGGCCAGAGAAGCGCCTCTGCAGGACGCGCGCCAGGTTGGGGAAGGCGCCCTCCGCTTGCACCGGAGGGGGCTGCAGGCGATCAAGGACCTCCGAAGAGGCCCCTTCCTCCTCCTCTTCTTCTAAGCGGGCTTTCTTGCTCGGGACCAGAGCGGCTTCCGCACCATCGCTAAAGCTGCTGCTCCGCCGCTTTCGGCTGATTTTTGCGGGGCGCTGGACACAGCGAGCGGGGGTCTCCTCGGCTCTCGGTGCCTCCTGCGTGTCCATGGGTTCCGGAGAGGGCTGCTCACCGTCGCCGGGAGCTGCCTTGGCTGCGGCTTCCGCTTCCCGAGGAGACTGCAGGCGAGGGTCAGGGGAGCGAACGGGCGACAAAGGCACCTCGGGTTCCTGGGCTCCCACCTTGGCGGAGAGGTAGAGCTCCCGAGCGCTGCGCATGACCAGCGACAGCTGTAGGCTCCGGTGCAGCCGCAGGCCACCGCGCTGCATGCGCGAATGGTACATCTTCCACACCGACAGGGTCATGATCCGTTGCGCCTCTTTCTGCACTTCCATAGCTGCTCGACGGCGACGGCGAGGGCGGCAGGGACTCCCGGCTGGGCACGGCAGGTGGCAGGTGCACTTCGGAAAACGCGCTCGTTCACGCCACTCTCTGCAGGACAAGCCACGCGCAGACACTACCAGGACGCTGTGCCCCGGCGCCCGCCACCCGGGCCCTTTTGTACCCGGAGTGAAGTCAGCGAGACGCCCCGCCCAATCAGAGAGCCGCATCCGGGCTTTCCGCGACGCCTCGGCGAAAACTCCTTAAAGCGACAGGGTGGAATTTACTGAGAGAAGAAAAGGGACCCGAACTCCTGTGAGAAGCGTCCCCCAATCCAAGCTGAGCTCTCAGGGTGGTCTGCTTTCTCAGGGCCGCTCACTGAACCCGCGCGCAGGCCCGGGGGAGGGGGGTCGTGGGTGGGGCTCAGGCCCCCCCCCCCACCGGTTGTGTCTGGAGACCCCTGTGGGTCATAGGCTGCACGTTTCGCTTCGCACCCAAGAAAACTTGGGTTCCAAACGGTAGCTCCCCGGTGGGAACTGTGTCTACCATCTACCAGGAGCCTAATTAATGTTTGTGGGTTTTTAAATCAATAATGGTGCTGACAATTATTAAGCACTTGCTAAGTGCCAGGCGCTAAAGACTTTCCTATCATAAACATCTCATTGATCTCTCACTTCCATTCCATGGAGGATTAGTTTTATTTTATTTCTTTAGGCGGGGACACCAAGGCACAGCGAGTCGTCCAATATTCGCTAAACGAATACTTGAGCCACAGCGGTGAAAGGGGATCAGCGGAGCCTCCAGCACGCCTGTCTTGCCAGCCTCCACCCACCCTCCTCACTCCCCTTGTTTGGAGGCGGTAAGAAGGCAGGACACACTGGCTGGCTCTAGGGCAAAGCTGCCCACTCCACGGGAGGTGGATGTCTGAAGACACGAGCGCAGCCCAAGCTACTGTCTCTGTGCTCCGCATCTAACATCCCTCTGTTTCCCTCCGCAAGAAATCCACCAGAAGCGTCCATGCCCTAAGGCGGAGGACCCGGCAGCAACACAGCCCGAGTGAGCACGTGGCTGTGGCCCCCCAAACGACGCAGCCGAGCTCCGCCTCTGCTCCCGGGGAGGCGGAGTTGGATTAGGACTTGGAAACGGAGCAACGCAGAGATAGAGCAGATGGATAGAAAACAGCGGCCCCACCTTCTGCTACGCACTAAGGTTCCAAGAAATATTTCCAGTTCCTCAAAAACCGCGAAATTGTTCGAACACTTCCCTTCATTCGTGGTGTGGGCCCTTTAAGGGCAAGCTCCCCCGCCCCCTCCACACCGGTGCGCGAACCTTCCCGCCACTCTGTCAGCCATACTTCCACAACTAAATTTGGAAGTAGTGACGTAGGGCAAGAGCGAGCCGCTTCCGGATGCCCTTATAAGGACAAGGGCCGGGAACGCAGTACGTGACTGTAGCCGGCCTCTTCCGGATGAGCGGGGGTGGTACCTTAGCCTCCCCGCACGCCCCTCCGCTCTCCCTCTACCGGCAGCTAGAGCTGACTGGAGCCCCCAGTTTCCGGAGCCGCGTGCAGCGGGGTCCGCGGAGAGTGAGAGGAAAGTTTTGCTTCTTTTCCTCCGGAGGCCAAAAAGGTGTGACACCTCTCCGGGAAAGCCCCCTGCTGGCGGGCTTGCACTGAAGCCATCTCCCAGAGACCTACACACAAAGACCTTGCCAACACAAGTAGCAACTCCCTAAGGACCTAAGGGTCACTACATTCCTGTCCTCGCCACCCCTCCCATGGAAACTCTCCCAGACCCCCCCCTTTCAAGTATTTCTGCATCTCCACCAAACACTGATCTGCACCTTTGGAGCATGCTCAGATCCTCCAACACCCAACCCGGCACAGGGAAATTCAGCAAGTATTCTCTCGTCTATAAGAATTCTCCCCAAACTGTCTCCATTCAGCGATCCTTCCACATATTACAGCAACCTGCTGAGGATGCCCCCATTTCTTGTCCCTTCCTTCCCCGAAACTTCACCACGACATCTCCAGCTCTCTCTGACGCACAACAGGGGCAACCCTCCAAGGACTTCAGGCATCCCGCTCCAGAAATCCGGACCCTACACAGGTGACAGCTGCTTCCCTCCTATTAAAAAACTGATTTTCCCAGCGACGCCACACACAAGGGCTCTGTCACATAGGTGGCAATCCTATGTGTCCCTATCCAGACTTTCCCGGTCCCTCTTCACACGCTGAGGACTTCCCTGCAGACCATTCTGAGAGCCACCACCGCACCCCGTCTGGCGACCCCAAGGGTCGCACCCAGAAAGACCTCACCACCACCACCCCTCGAAGCTTCTCTAGGGCCCCTACTCAGGGCCAACCCTCCCCAGGGCGATCTCGAGGCTTCCCTCCTCCGCAGGAAAAAAGAGGGGAAGAGTCTCCCTCAGAACTTTATATAGAATGCCCGCACTTCACCCTGCCCCCAAACCTGCCACTCCGACCCTGGCCTGGGACCATCTCCCATCTCCTAGGACAGGATTTGGGTGCAGGCCCAAGGAGTCCATAACGACGGCCCACAAATGAATGAGCCCCTTCCCCAGCCATAATCTCGCCTGTTTTGAAGGAGACATTATGTACATTGCTCGGAAGGGAAAACTGAGGTTGCGCAGCAACAATCCGAGGGGCTGGGTCTCGAACCGAGGGATTCGGAGCTCTCGAGTCGAACCCAGTGAGACAGAACTAGGACACTGCTAGGGACCGAGAGCGAAGGGGCGGTTCTTGCAGACAGGAAACCGTCTCTGCCCACAACCAAGATGATTGAAGAGAGAGCGGATATTTCCGCACTTCGGGCCGAGGGCCACTCTTTCTCCCCTGGCGGCCCCGCTCTCGATGGTGGCACGGGTCACGTGACGGGGGGCGGAGTGACGGCGCGTCCCTCACCTCTTGGAGGGAATTAGCTTCCCAGGCCGAGAAGGGAGGGGATTCGGCCTCGGGAGGGTGGGGGGCGTGACATGTCTCTCGAAGATCCTTTTTTTGTAGTCCGAGGGTGAGTGACAGCGATGCGGCAGGACACGGGGTATTGTGTCCCCTTGCCAACCAGTGCCCGCGTGCCAGGCGGTGCATGTCAGGCATTCTGGGCACCGCCGTCGGGATCGCCCAGTGGCCATGTGGGGAGGGGTCCGCAGGGGGATATGAGGGTCTCCTGAGCTCTCAACCTGTTTGGGGGCGTAATGGTGGGCGGGAGGACCGCCTACTCCCCCCCCCCCCGGCCAGCCGCGCCCGCTGTGCCCCTTCCCGCAGCGAGGTGCAGAAGGCGGTGAACACGGCCCGTGGGCTGTACCAGCGGTGGTGCGAGCTCCTGCAGGAGAGCGCGGTGGTCGGACGCGAGGAGCTGGACTGGACGACCAACGAGCTGCGGAATGGCCTGCGCAGCATCGAGTGGGACCTCGAAGACCTGGAGGAAACCATTGATATCCTGGCGGGGGTGGGGTGGCATGGGAGAGTCCATTGCAGGGACAGGGGGCGCTGAGAGCCAGCCCTTGGGGGAGGATGCACACCTAGGAGGTGTTGAGGACTTTGAGGCGTAGGAGGGCGCACGTTCTGTCGGGCTCTGGCTTTGACTCTTGACTCGCCGCATACGCATAGTGGAAGCCAACCCCGGCAAGTTCAAGCTCCCAGCTGGAGACCTTCAGGAGAGAAAAGTGTTTGTGCAGAGGATGCGGGAAGCAGTGCAGGTGAAGAGAGTTTCCGATGGGGTGAGGAGGGTTGGGGTGTCTTTTTACTCTCTGATGCTGTCCTTATCTGTAGGAAATGAAGGACCATATGGTCAGCCCGGCAGCCGTAGCCTTCATGGAGAGGAATAACAGGGAGGTAAGGCATTCCCACCCAGTGCCCTCACCCGCTGTGTCTCGGGTTGATCCTCAGAGTGCAAGCCTGGCCCCTCTGTGCATTCGCCTGTCTCCTGGGGACCCGTGCATCTGTCCTTCTGCATCCGTCCTCATCTTCGTGCAGTTGTCTCCATGCTGTCTACCCACCTGCTCTTTCTGGATGAGCACAACTGATTTCTGTCTGTGTGTATAATCCCTTCTGCCCCCTCCTGTGGGTCTGTACTCTACAGGTTTTCTCTGTGTGTGGCAGCCTGTCTCCATTTATTGCTCTCTGTGTTATTGTTTCCAGGATATGTGTTTACCTTTTTTCTTTTCTTTTTTTCTCCTTTTTTTGGGCCGTGCCCAGCAGCACGTGGGATCTTAGTTTCCCCAACGGGGGGTTGAACCCTTGCCCCTGTGGCCCCTGCATTGGGAGCTTGGAGTCTTAACCATGGACCACCAGGAAAGTCCGTGTGCTTTTTTTTTTTTAATCTGTGTAAGCACTTGACCTCTCTGATCATGGCCTCTGAGTGGATCCCTGTCGGCCTTGGGTAGATCCACCATTTCCCTTTTGTGGGTGTGGTCGCCCCCTGTGTGTACCCACTCCTGTCTTTTGTGCCCATTCTCTCTGCTGCCTGTGTGTGTGCAGCTTTTCCCTCTGTGTTGTGTGTTGTTCATTCTTTGCATGTTGTGTAACAGCAACCTCACTCGATACACCTACATTGGGGTCTGGAAGGGTGGGGGACTGAAGCCTGCAGCAGCTTGGGGTCCTGTGGCAGGATCCACATGCCTTCCAGGTGTGCTGTTTTGAGGATTAATGTTCAAATTCTTCTTATTTCTTAAAAAATAAACCCCACAAATTCTTCTTATTTCTTTATTTGGCTGCATCAGGTCTTAGTTCCCCCACTGCATGTGGGATTTTTTTTTCATTAAAAATTAATTAATTTTTGACCGTGCTGTGTCTTTGTCACCGCACAGGCTTTTCTCTCGTTTCGGTGACTACTCTCTGGTTGTGATGGGCCCAGACCTTGAGGGCTTCAGTAGCTGCAGCATGTGGGCTCAGTAGTCGAGATTCAAGGGCTCTAGAGCACAGGCCCTGTAGTTGTGGCACATGGGCTTACTTGCTCCGTGACATGTGGGAATCTTCCCAGACCAGGGATTGAACTTGTGTCTCCTGCATTGGCAGGCGGATTCTCTACCACTGAGCCATCAAGGAAGCCCCAACCTGTGGGATTTTAGTTCTCCAACCAGGGACTGAACCCATGTCCCCCGCATTGGAAAGCAGATTCTTAACCACTGGACCACCAGGGAAGTCCCTTAAGTTCAGATTCTTAAATACCTGTGTTTATAGGTTTATAAGCATGCCAGGGTTAATTTATTAAATCCTTGTTCCATCCTCAGGAAACAGGGTTTATAGCCCTCCCCATTTTACAGGTGAGGAAACTGAGGTACAGGGAAGTCAGGTGGTATGGCCTTGAGGTCAGCTTGCTAGTAAATGATGGCCCGGAGGAGCCCAGGCCATTCTACTCCTGAGACTGTCTTCCTGAGTAGCCACCATCTAGTCTCTGCCGGGAGTGGGCGACCCTCCCTGAGCCTGCCGTCTGGGTCCCTACAGATGGTGACAGGCAAGCCGGCTACCCTGAAGTCCTCCAGCGACTTGCTGGATGCCAGTGTGGTCTCGACCACCTCTCGCTACATTGAAGAGCAGCAGGCCACACAGCAGGTGCGTGCAGGCGGCTGGCAGCCCCAGGCTGGAGGAGACTGCGGACAGCTCAGGGCTCCGTGCCAACCTCGGTTCCCACCCCTTCACCCTGCAGCTGATCCTGGACCAGCAGGATCAACAGCTGGAAATGGTGTCTGGGAGCATCTCAGTTCTGAAACACATGTCCGGCCGCGTTGGGGAGGAGCTGGACGAGCAGGGCATGTGAGACTGGGACCCTGGGGGTGGGCCAGGAGCCCATGGCCGGCTGCTCCAGTGTGCACAGAGCCTCTAGGAGCTGATGCCTTCCTGGTCTTGGCAGTATGCTGGACGCCTTTGCTCAGGAGATGGACCACACCCAGTCCCGGATGGATGGGGTCCTTAGGAAGATGGCCAAAATATCCCACATGACCAGTGGTGAGTCCCCTGGGGTGGGGGAGTGAGGGGGGGCGGTGCTGCCTCCCCTCTGTGAACTCTGACCCTCTTGCCCCCAGACCGCCGACAGTGGTGTGCCATCGCGGTGCTGCTGGGGGTGCTGCTCCTGGTCCTCATCCTCTTCTTCTCTCTCTGATCCTGGTCCTCCCCAGGGGGCGGTCCCTCCAGCTGCGGGGAGCTGGCAGGGCCCTGCCCCCGAGAGGACTGGGAGGTCATGCCGGGAGAGCTGTCCCAAGGCTCTCATCTAGAGAGGACCCTCAGGGCTCCGGGCTGGAGCCTCTACCACCAGTCTGGTCTTAAGTGTACTTAGGGGGTGGTGGAGGAGGGGGACCTCAGACACACCCCTCTCCATCTCTACTCCTCAAAGCCATCGCTTTGCCCCTGTGCCTTCTACATGTGCCAACTTAGAAATAAAATCCCAGCCTTTATTATATATGTTTGTATCCTACGATATGGTGATCTGAACTGGTGGCTGCCCCAAATGGGAACTCCTGTTCTAAGACCCCTGCTTGCACACCCTGGGGCCACGTGCGCATGTGTGCCCATGTGTGTTAGGGATTTCAGTGGTCGACATTCAGTGCAGAAAAGACTATTCTGGTGTATTTCTCAGATTTCATGATGGATCATTTTAGTACCATCAAAAAAAATTCAACCACTGATTTTTCCTTAAGTTTTTGAACTTCAGCCTAAACATCTTTTGCTTGTTCTGTGTCTCCAGTAGGTGAATCCCTTAGCTGGGGAGCTCAGCTGGGACTTCTGAGGCGCCTCTCAGTACCACAGGGCTCTCTTGTACACCAGGTCACTTCCATCCTTTTGTGATGCAACGTTCTAATAAGATGTGAGTGTGTGCTCAGTCGTGTCTGACTCTTTGAGACCCCATGGACTGTAGCCCTCCAGGCTCCTCTGCCCATGGGATTTCTCAGGCAAGAATACTGGAGTGCATTGCCATTTCATTCTCCAAGGGATCTTCCCGACACAGGGATCAAACCTGTGTCTCCTGCATTGCAGGTAGATTGTTTACTGCTGAGCTACCTGGGAAGCCCACTACAAGGGAGTGTTTGTAGATTTAAGGACTTTGTTGTAGAGCCTACCTGAGTCGGAAATGATTTCTATAAGCTGGGTAAACTTGGAAGTGAATCTGCACTTACTGTCGTAGATGTTTCCATCCTGAGCATTATGTAATTTGACATCAGAATCACCCTTGTATGTTTGACACATTGTAAAGTGTTGTGTGTTACAAGGCCGTCTGTCATCCCATTCAGCCCCAAAGGCTGATTTGTCAAAAAGAACCAAATATGTACAGATTCCGTGTTTTTTTTTTTTTTTTTGCTGTGCCACACAACTTGCAGGATGTTGGTTCCCTGACTAGGGAGCGAACCCAGGCCCCCTGCAGTGGAAGTAGTCTTAACCACTGAACCACCAGGGAAGCAGGGAAGTCTCCCTTTCTTTTAATTTTTATTTTTCTTAATATATGTATTTTATTGAAGTATAGTTGACTTGTTTTTCCCTTTTTTATTGTTTTTAATGCAAAACTACTACCACTGATGTTCTGATTCAGGTTGTCTTGATCCATTCCATATTTGGTTCTCAGTCTTCCTGGGCTTAAAAGACATGCTTCTGGGGGTCTTACACCACCTTGCTGGGATTGCCTACATGTTCAGACAGGACTTTCTGTTCCTTGAGGTGACTTTGGATCAGAGTCACCTCAGGATTTTTGTTGGTGATGCTGTTGGCTCCCCCAAACCCTACTTTCTGTTGGCTAAAGCTAGGTTTCAGGACTCCAGAGGGGGCTGGCCTTACTGAAACATGCACAAGTGACCCTGTGAATTGTCACCCTCAATGATCTTCCCTGTGGAAGTCTGAGGCTCCCTCCAGTCCCCATGGGGTGGTTGGACCTGGACTGGGTGGAGATGGAGGCTATCTACCTCCCCAGCATGGATATCTTGATTTGATGGACTCTCTTAAGATCAGTCAAGTTTTCCCACACTTCTTGAGACATCTCTAAATTCACGGGCCCCTAAGGTATGTTTTGTCTTTTGTTTCAGTTGATAGAATTTTCTTCTGTTCATATCCTCTTTAAAGCCATCCTGACTTTAATATTATATATATATAATTTATTTTTTTTGCTGCACCATGAAGCATGTGAATCTTAGTTCCCCTCGATCAGGTATCATAGAACCTATGCCCTCCTGCCCTGGGGGCAGTCTTCACTTTTGGACACCAGTGAAGTCCCCCAGTGTTCCTCTGAATGCACTGGTTTAAGATGGGGTGAGGGGTGTGGATGCAGGTTCAGGACTTGAGTCTAGAGCTGGGGTGTCAAATACCATGGGAGGGGATGCTGGGAGACCCCAGAGCAGGATTTAGGGCTTACACCTGTGAGGGAACAACCTGGGGTAACCTAGAAGGAACTGGAAAGTATTGACTGCTTGAGTCTGAATGCAGTCCCCCCTCAAGCTGGCTGGAGAAGGAAATGGCACCCCACTCCAGTATTCCTGCCTGGGAAATAAATACCTTGGATGGAGGAGCCTGGGGGATTACAGTCCATGGGGTTTCAGAGTAGGACACAACTGAGCAACTGAACTCAAGTGACATTAAGGCATAATGTTTGGCATGGCCATCCTGAGTGTGACACCCTGGGTATGGAGGTGTGGATGTATGGAAGGGCAGCTCTGGTGTGCAGCGCGTGGGACCCACCACCCCACGCACCCAGTGAGCAGCTGGCAGCAGGGCTGTTACAAAGGCGTTTAGTTTATTCTCCTCATCAGTATCACTGATGTCCTCACGGTTCACATTTCCCAGTGCGGCTCCTCCTCTTACAGTAGTCATGTGCAATCTCACTTACGGGCCCGGGGTGGGGAGGGGCTCGGCCCAGGGCAGGGAGGGTGTTGGCACTCCACGCAGACAGATTGTCCTGCGTGAAAGAGGCGAGGGTGAATGGGCGGCCGGCGGGGGAGGGGGGTGGCCCCCCCCACAGTCTTTTTTGCGTTGGTCGGTGGTTCTCCATGTTCCTTCCTGGCTGCCCGGGCTTGGGGGTCCATGCAGCGCAGCGCAGGGAAGGGTGGGCTCGGGTTGAGGGGGCAGGGAAGGCAAGAAGGAAAAGCAGCAGGCCACCCAGGAGCAGGAAGCAGGGCGGGAGGGCGCAGGGGTGGCTCCCGGGGTAAGGCACAACCCTGTCTTTGGCTCTCCTGGTGAGGAGTTTCCTCCCCTGCACCCCTGCCCAGCCCCGCTCCCCACCCCCCAGACCGCCACACACAGTCCAGAGAGCCAGGGGGGCGCCTCCTGGGGTCCCTGAAACAAGAGGGCTCTGCCACCCAACCCAGTGCTGCAGGGGCTCGAGGAAAAAGGTGAGGAGGGGCTGGACAGAGGCCTGCCCAGGACAAGGGGGTGGGGAGGGAGAAGACCCCAGTCCCAGAGAGCTGGCCCCCACTAAGGCCTGGAAGGAGGGGAGCGCCTGGGGACTCCGGCTTCCTTGTGGGGTCTGGCTGGAGCCCCAGCCCCACCCCTCGGCCTTGGTCGGCCCGGCAGCTTGCCAAGTGACCAGGATATTGTGCTTTGGGATCTATGCTGGGGTGGGTGCTGAGACCAGGATTGGGGGGGGGGGTGCAGGGTAGGTGTGACTAAGGTGCTTGTGCTTTAGTTGGGGGTGTTGACTCCCCCCCCACACTCGAGCCAGCTGAGGCCACGAAAGCAGAGTCCCGGGACCCCAGCTGGACTGATCCCCCCACCCCTGCAACAAGCAGATGTCAGGAAGGACCTCCCCACCCTGGCCCCACAGGCTGGCGGGGGCTCCTGGGGTTCGGGTGGGGGCAGGCCTCCAAGTCAGGTTTCAAGGGTCCAGTGGGCCCCCACCACCTCCTGTAGTCCCCTTGCCTTTGGAGAGAGAGGCTGCTGGGAGCAATGGGCGAGTCAGATTGGGGAGAAGACAGAGGCATGAGAACAAGGGCTGGAGACAAAACTGTGAAATCGAAAAGAAATGACACCCAGTGGGTGTGTATGGGGGAAGGGGAGTAGAGTTAAAAAAAAGAACCCTCTGAGTTTACATGTAGAACTCAAAAACCTGGGACACCCTTGCAATGGAGCCCCATGGGGGAGGCATCGAGGGGTGAGTGGGAGCTGGCCAGACCCACAGGAGCCCAGGCAGAGTGGGGCTTGGGGGGGCCCCACCTTGGAAACGCACACCCACACTCCACACACATGCGCAGCACATTCAGCCTGCCCCCTGGCCCCCCACCCCGTCCTGCCTTCCACAGCTCCGGGGACCAAAGGGGACATCAGACCCAGTCCCATTGGTTTGAAAAATAAAAGGAATCTTATACTTCAATATTTCATTAGCTAAAAAAATGTTTTAAAAAGTATGTACAGGGGGTGGGGGCTGGGAGCCCTGCCGAGGGGGCGGGGTGGGGTGGGGAAGGGCGGGAAAGGCAGCAGCCCCCTCCCCCTAGCCGGCTCCCCTGGGTTCCACCCCTGGTCCTACTGCCTCTTATGTCTTCATTTGTTTAAGAGCAAAACTTCTACACACGCACGCGCGCACACACACACACGCACACCCACACACTTCTGCACGCCCCGGAAACCTCTCCTCCTGTCCTCAGAGACCTGCGGTCTGCCCCCAAGGGCCCCCCTCACTCAGGACCTGCCCCTCTCAGGCCCCAGGGGACTGGTGATGGCAAGAGGCTGAGCACAGGGAGGGGAAGAGAAGGGCGCTGGGCCTGCCACCGCCCACCACCTTGGGTCAGCCAGTTTCTCTGAGCCTCAGTTTCCTCAGTTGTAAAATGGGCAGTCCTCGCAGCCTCGCCTACCCCAGCCCCCAGGTGCAGGGACAGACGAGGGAAACAGGAAGGCGCTTTTGGAAACGTGGAAGCACTGGGAGGTGGTGGTGGGAGGGGTCCTGAGAACCCGGGGGCCCCTGCAAGTCCCGAGGGGCTGCAGTGGAGGGGCGGAGGCTGAGGAATGCTCCCGCTTGGTGGCCCAGGGCCTGGGAAGGGGGTCTTCCCAAGCCCCCCCCAGGCTGGCCCCTCCCTGTGCCTGGCCTGGTGAGTGGGGAGAGAGTCACTAGGGGTTAGGAGACAGGGAGCAAGAGCCCCCCGACTGTGCATGAGTGTGTGCTAGAGAAGGCCACGCGGACCTCGCACCACCTGCCATCCTCTCCCAGCCCGGATCCCCGATCGGCTTGGGGTCAGGGGATGGGATGGGGAGGCAGAGGAGCTGGGAGCATGCAGCACCCCTCGTGGGTCCTGGGGAAGGACAGACAGTAGCTCGTGACCAGGATGGCGGGTGGGTGTGACAGGAGGGGGAGTGTGGCAGCCCCGAGGGAGGGTCCGCTGGGGGTTACTGGAGGGCCTCCTCGGCTGAGGGGCCGGCCTCGCCGTCGTGGCTGGCCGTCTCGAAGCCGTGCTCCACACCCATCATGTCCGGCTCTATCTTGCCCGTGTAGCTGATGAAGGTGGTGTAGGCATCGCCCTCGGCCATGAGCGGCTTGACCTTGGGGATCCAGCTCTTGCGCACAACGCGGCGGGCGTTGGTGCACATGTCGGCCGCAATGGCGTTCATCTCGCTCTCCTTGAAGTTGGGGGCGAAGTTCTGGCAGTAGTCTGCAGGTGGAATGAGCGGGCCTGGGTAAGCGCCCTTCCCAACAGGCACTCAGCTGCCGCGGTGCAGGCACCCCCCCACCTCAGGGCCCCTCTGCCCACCCCTCAGAGCTGAGGGGCTGAGGCCTTGCAGATGCTTGCCGCTGTTGCTTAGCTGCTCAGTCATGTCTGACTCCTTGCAACCCCATGGGCTGTAGCCCACCAGGCTCCTCTGTCCATGGGATTCTCCAGGCAAGAATACTGGAGTGGGTTGCCATTTCCTTCTCCAAGGGCTCTGCCCGACCCAGGGGTTGAACCTGCGTGTCCTGCTTGCCAGGCAGATTCTTGACCACTGAGCCACTTGGGGAGCCCGAGATCTTACAGACAGCATGCTACACTACATCAGTGGGCCCAGGCTGGACCCAGCTGGGCCACGTGTGTGGGATGTGTGGATCTGATGCGGGACACCTGGGTGCTCTTGAAAAACAGGCGTCATTTGCTAGAATTTAGAAACTGGGAGATTTCCACTTGAAAACCTAGACTTCCCTCCTGACAACTGGCTGAGGCCTGGGGTGGTCTATCACTCCCATGACCAGCCTGCACTGGAGACCCTCTCCTGTCGGCTTTGTGGCTTTCCTTCAGTGTCCTTCCCCAAGAAATCTCTAACCAATCACAGCCCTGTTCCCAAGAATCCTGGATTGAACTTCAGAATCCTTCTTAACACCAGAGCCTACCTACTGACCCATCAGGGCCAACACTGAGAAAAGGACCCCCAGCCCGACCCCAGAACAGAAGGCACTCACATTTGACGGCGTGGAGCACGCGACTGTCCAGCGGTTTGCGGCTGGGGTTGTTGCTGGAGGAGCGGATGCCGGTGCCACAGCTGTTGGCCAGCGTGTTCCTGGGTGAGGTACAGGGGAGGGGAGTCAGGTCCCCCGGTGGCGAGCCCCCTCAACCCCTGGGGCTCTGGCAGGGGCCTCACCGGTCAAAGAAGGAGGCCAGGAGGCGCCGCAGCAGGACCTTGTGGCGTGTGCCTGCGCTGACGTGGCAGTTCATGAGCTGCGCCCTCGTGATGTACACGTTGGTGCCTGCAGGGGGAGGGGGTGAGAGGATAGCCAGGGCCGACCAAGACGACCCACCCGCCCCACCCCAACAACTCAACCCACAGCTGCCTTCTCAACACTCAGGAAAGGAGAGAGACTGTGCCCCCAGCCACCATGAGTCCTGCGGCCAAATTCTTAAGCTCTGTGTTGGTCAACCCTGGAACCACCCCCACGAAACCAATGACCTATGCCAATGTGGCCAAAAATGCCGGCCGATGCTTATACCCGCCTCTGGGGTGGAAACCTACAGGCAAGCCTTTGATTCGTATCAATATGAAGGGGTGTCAGGGGCCCCAGGACCCAACCCAAATGGGGTGTCGGGGGAGCTGAGGGCCGAGGTGAGGCCAGCCCACCTGTCACCAGCTCCAGCTTCTCTGAGGGGTCGCCCTCGTCGTAGAGCTTGGGGTGGCAGCGGTTGCCAATCTGGTTGATGAGCTCAGCGGGGAGAGATGCTAGGTCCTGCCGCACTCGGATGCGATTCCGAGACTCAGGGGCCACCTGCTCAGGGAGGGCCTCCACCTTCTCGGCTGTGCAGTGGGGAGAGAGGTGTGCTAGGGTCGGGGTGGCAGTGGTGGGGAGGGCAGTGGGGCCGGGCTGGGGCTTGCGGGGGCACCTCACCAGTCTGGCCGACGTTCATCATGCTGTACATGGTGTACATGTTGCAGATCTGACGGTACTGCTCGTCCGTGCCCTCCTCGCCCGCGTCCTCCTCCTCGTCCTCCTCGTTGTGGTAGGAGCCGGGGCTGTCGCTGGTGTAGGCGCTTGAGGTGCCGGGGCTGGTCCGCTCTGATGTGCTGGGCCCGCTCACACCGCCTGCCGCCGCCGCCGCACCCCCAGTTGGCGGTGCGGCCCCTGCCCCCGCCGCCACCCCGGTGGGCTGTGCCGCCGCCACCACGGGGGCCTGCTGGGCCGGCCGGTTGACAGCCAGGTCTGGCGTGGAGAACTTGGCCATCTTGCGGCTGCCATTGCCCCCGCTGCTGCCCCCGGCCTCCTTCTGGCCGCTGTCCCACAGCCGCTTGGCCACGGGTGTGCACTGCACAGAGTCCGACTCCTGCTGCTCTGTTTTGACGCGCGACACCAGGGGCAGCGGAGTGCCGCAGGCCGGCCAACTCGACGTCTGCGCCACGGGGCTCTGGGGCTCGGACGAGGGGGCCTCCTCAGCGTGCAGGCCCTGGGAGTCGCAGCTGGGGGAGCTCACCTTGAGGAAGAATTCGGTCCCCTTCTCCATGATCTCCTGGATCTGCAGAAAGCCGGCCGTGTACATGAGCAGGAACTGGTCACCCATGTTCATGCTCAGGCGGCCCGTGTAGCAGAAGCTGAGGATCTGCTGGAAGGACTGGGGCTGCACAGCCGCCGGCAGCTCCACCACCGCGCTCCGGCTGCTGTTGAACAGGTCCCGGAAGTAGGAGCTGCTGGCGGCCAGCACGGCCCTGTGGGCCTTGAAGGCGTGGCCTTTGACCACTACCGAGACGTCACAGTACAGGCCCTGCAGCCGCTGCTCGTTGAGGCACTCCAGGATGCTGTTGCCAAAGTTCGGGATCTCCATCTGAAGGGTCTGGGCCATGGCGGCGGTAGCTGCGCAGGCGAAAAGGGAGAGACGGAGGGGCGGGGTCAGGTGGCCGACGCAGCCTGATGCCGGGAGACAGGCGGGAGTGTGGACGGCAGCCACGTGGTGGAATCTGCCAGGACCGTAAGAATCGCAGGGGCCGCCCACTCCTGTCCCAGCACGGCCTGGCCTCTGTGACATGCTGGCCAGTCAGCTAAGCTGGGGTGGCCCATGCTGGGCTTCTTTCTGCAGAAAGAAGGGCAGGGACTCCCCAGGTGGTCCAGTGGCTAGGACTCCATATTCCCAATGCAGGGGACCCAGGTTCGACCCCTAGTCAGGGAACTACATCCCACATGCCGCAAGTAAGAGTCCCCATACCTCGACTAAAGACCTTGCATGCTACTGCAATAAAAATTAATAATAAAGATGCCTCATCTAAGACCTGGTGCAGACAAATAAGGAAACATTAAACATAATAAAGGAGGGCAACGGCATCCTTACACATCTGTGCTTCAGCATTAAATGAGATGACACAGGGAGCACCCCATGAGCACTAACCAGCGCTAGCACCACACACACAGGTAACTGGCATACCAACACAGAGAAGGTGGACTCATCTGATCTTTCACACTGCCTTTGTGGGGCTGAGCACGTGACCCAGAACCACCATTTGTTGAATGACTGAATGACCAATCAAGAAACCCTGAAACTGCATGAGAACATAACATAGTCACCAGGGCAATGCAAATCCAAACCACAGTGAAACACCATTTCACATCCACCAGGCTGGCTAGAGAATCACAAGGACAGAGGAGCCTGGTGGGCTACAGTCCACGGGGTTGCAAAGACTCGGTCACAACTGAGCAACTACCACACAGGCTGGCTAGCATAAAAAGATAAATACTCTCAGTGAAGATGAGAAATGACTCGGGACCCTCCTACATTGGTGGTGGGAATGTGAAGTAGTGTAGATGCTGTAGAAAACCGCTCTTCAAATGGTTAAACCTGAAGTTACCATATGACACAGCGATCCCACCTCTGGGAATGATACCTGAGAAGTGAAAACATACATCCACCAGTGATTAAAACTGAGTATTTGTTGTTGTTTAGTCATTAAGTTATGTCTGACTCTTTTGTGACCTCATGGACTGTAGCCCGCCAGGCTCCTTTGTCCATGCAATTTCCCAGGCAAGAATACTGGAGTGGGTTGCCATTTCATCCTCCAGGGGATCTTCCTGACCCAGGGATTGAACCCATGTCTCCTGCATTGGCAGGCGGGTTCTTTACTGCTAAGTAAAGAACTGGGGAAGTACCATGTGAATGTTTACAGCAGCACTATTCACAGTAGGCAAAAGGTAGAACCAATGACCTCAAAGGTAAATGGATAAACAAAATGTGATCCATCCACAATGGAACACTACTGTCATAAAAAGGAGCAAACAACTGATACACGCTACAACTAGGATAAACCCACAAAATATGGTAAATGCAAGCCAGACAAAAAGACCACACATTATATATATTTCATTTCCCACAAATGTGAAATGTCCAGAATGGGCAAACCATAGAGACAGAAAGCGGATTTGCGGTTGCCTAGGGCTGGGCAGTGGGTGAGGGGTAGGGGCTGTGAGGATCGGGAAGGCGTAAGCAAACAGGAACAGGGTTTCTTGTCCTCGAGAGAAACGTCCAGTGATTGTGATGACATACGCACAACTATGAACATATTAAAAAGCTCTGAACCAGTACGCTTTAAAAATGGGTGAACTGCTTGGTATGTGCATCTCAAGCTGTAAAATGAAAAAAGAAATTGTAAGACTAATGTCCCCTGTGCAGAACTGAGGATGAGACTTGCCATGTACAGTCTTTGTTTTGTTGTTTACTCGCTAAGTCGTGTCCAAATCTATGCGACTGTAGCCTGTCAGGCTCCTCTGTCCATGGGAATTCTCCAGGCAAGAATACTGGAGTGGGCACAGTCTTAGGGTCTTTTTAAATTTTGAACCTGGTGTATATGTTGTCTATTTACCAAAGTGTGTGAAATCACACTGAAAACATCCCAAGGGCTTTAGGGGTGGGTGGAGAAAGAAATGTGAATTTAAGGAACTGCCTAATAAGACCCTGCTCAGGGAGCCCACCCCCATCCTGACCTGCAAGGTACCACCTGGGGGGGCCCTGGCACCTCTCAAATGTATAACCTTCTGCATCACAGCCTATTCCATCAGTGCATGTTCCCATCCAGGAGGAACTGATCAGGCGAGGATGGCACATCTGATACTCTGGGGGCAATCATAAAAGGGCTTGGAGGGAAGATGTGACTTTACAAGTGACCCCCTCCCACCCCACTGGAAACAGTGAGTCCCCTGCCATTCTGCTGGTGTGGAGGGCAGTGGTCCTGAAAGAGCAGGCAGGGGAGAGAAGAGAGGCCTGAACAGACAGTCAGGCTGGTGAGAAGACAGTAGGAAAGAGTGTGTGCAAACACCCTGGGGTAGGAACAGCCTTAAGTTTCCCCAGCTGAGAACTAGGGGCATGAAATCAGCCCCATAGGCTGCAGAGAGGATTCAGGGTGCTCATGCAGTCACACGCTGACTGCTCTGATAGGCTGGGTGCTGGGAGGGCAGGGCCAGTGTCTCCCTCAGGGTCTCCCAAATGGAGCAGCTCAGTGTGTACAGGTTTGAGTCTGCAGAATCAGGCTGGCCTTATCAGTGTTCATTTCCAAATGAAGAAGCAAAGATATGGAGCCCCTGGTCCCAGAAGCAAGTCAGTTCTGGAGCCAGGACTCACGCTGGCCCCAGAGTACAGCCCTGAGCCTACGGGCATGTGGCCCCTTTTCTTCCTCCATGGAGCCCTTTCTCAGTGAATCCAGAGAGGGTCCAACTCTGCACTGCATCCCCAGTGCTCAACCCAGAGGCAGCTTAAAACAGACCTAAAGAACAAAAACCTGAAAGGTGCATGAGCGCTAACGTGGGAGTAAGAGACGAACAGCTATGGGTCTCTGGTTAGTTCCTGCCCCAGGGCCTCTGCACATACTCTTTTGTCCTTTCCTCAGCAAAATCAATGTCACTATCAGGAAAAACAAAAAGGCCATCAGGGGACTTCCCTGGTGGTCCAGCGGTTAAGAATCTGTCTTGCAATGCAGGAGACATGTGTTCGATCCCTGGTCTGGGAAGATCCCACATGCCGAGGAACAATTAAGCCTGTGCATCACAACTACTGAAGTCTGTGTGCCCTAGAGCCTGTGCTCTGCAACAAGAGAAGCCATTGCAATGAGAAGCCTGTGCACTGCAACTAGAGAGTAGCCCTGCATGGTGCGACCAGACAAAAACAACTCATGCAGCAATGAAGACCCAGCACAGCCAAATAATTAGTAAGTAAGTAAATAAAATTTTAAAAACACTGCAGAGACAGCACCAAGGGAACAGGTGACTGACTCCTAGCAGCTGGGGTGGGGAAGCATCAGGGGAAAGGGGAGCTTGGGTGAGGAGGGTAGAGGGCTGAGGCTGTAGAGATATGGATGTGGATGCTTTTGGGGCTGCGAAGGGCATTCCACTCCTAACTGCACTCGGTGTGCTGGACAAGGCTGCATCCATGTCCCAAAGGCTACCAAGGTGCTCAGAGCACCCAGCAGTGAAGGTGAGCGGTGCCCCACTTCATGGGTGGGTCCCAAGAAGCTAGACTGCAGGGCCTGTCCCCCCACTGAGAATTGGTGCAGGGGGCTTTGTGCGGAGCACTTAGCTTGGGAGTGCTAATATCCTCAAGATAACGGGAGGGAACGGAGACACAAGGAGGGAGCTCCTGAGGGTGAAAGCCAACCTGATATCCAGGCTGGCATCTACAGGCCTCACCAACCCCATGGAGCCCCAGAGCCAAGCACCCAGGGCTCTGAAGGTTTCAGTGAGCAGTTTAGTGGGGGGAAGGTTTTACAAAAGGCTGATGCCATCAGTGCACAGGAACCCCCCAGCCCCCTTGTAGTGACAGGGAGCAGGGTGCTCGCTCTGCTGTGCTGCCCCTGCAGGTAGGACAGGATGAGGGGAAGTGGCCGAGGCCACTGGAGACCCCAAAGACCCACCCCTGGGCTCCCCTCCCTCTTGTGGCTCCCATCCAGGCTACCCAGAAGAACAATGGTCCAGGGTCCTCCCCCTCACCTCTCCCGGCCTGTGAGGGAGGAGGCATGGAGCTACCCTGGGGTTTCTAGAGGAAACAGGGCTAAGAGCTGGTGCTTGACCTGCGTCACCTGTTGGTGGGGAAGTGGTTGGATGGGGAGCCGGGTGGGGGGGTCTCTAAACCACCAACAGTTCTGTCCTCACCAACCTGAGCCCCCCGCCCGCTCTGCCCAGTGCCCTGCAGCCAGCCCTCGCCCGTGCCATGCACCCTGCCCAGAGAGCCCACATCGTCCTCAGCCACCCTCAGGTACCCGCCACTCCAAGAACTCTCCAGACTGGAGAAGATGGCCTCTTCTGCACGCCCCCCCACCTGCAACCCTAGTGCCCTGATGCTTACCTCTGAGAACACTAGATCCCACTTGATTACAGTCTCCCCAAGGGCAGAGAACCTTCTTTGAACTCTCTCCTCACAACTTGGTACATCAGCCTGTGCACCTGCTGGGGTCCCCAGATCCCCCTGGAGGGGAGGGGCAGCCCCCAGCCACACACAAGGCCAAGAGGACCCTCCTGGCATCGCTGCTCCTGGCCCTGAACGAGAGTGGGTTTTCCCCACAAGATGCAAGGCCACAATTCAGTTTCCATGATATCTTAAGCCACTCAACAAATATTTGCCCAGCACCTGTCTGGGGCAGGAAGCGCCCAGAGCTCAGGGCAGGCCATCACCAAGACGGGGCCCTGACTCTGGAGCTCACGATCCGGTGAGAGGCACAACCATTCATCCAGGTCACACAGATCCATGAGCTACAGGTCCTCGCCTCTGACCTCACCCAGCAGAGATCTGGAGCTGAGATCTGGGGGGCACCAGGGGGTAGAGGTGGGGTGATCTAATGGGGCAGGGGCAGGCTGGGAAGGTGGCCCTCA